ACTGTTCCTGATCACTTTCCTCTCCTCTAAGTGCTTTAGAATTGATTCCTTGAGGACTTGCTCCATGATTTTTCTAGGGACTGAGGTGAGGCTGACTGGCCTGTAGTTCCCAGGATTCTCCTTCTTCCCTTTTTTTAAAAGATGGGCACTACATTAGCCTTTTTCCAGTCGTCCGGGACTTCCCCCGATCACCCTCTCCTTCCCCCCACCTCCAACTTCTGATGGGGCTTTCACACAGTGGAAGCAGGTACATCAGGTACCTTAACAATCAAACCGCATACTCTTCATGCATACCAACTTTGAAATGCACTGTGTCTGGAATTGCAGAAGAAACGGCGGGACTTACTTTAACCATTCTAACAAGGCAGGAAGGCAACACAGGGAAACCAGTTCCGGATTCCCCATCACCAGAGCAATCCAAAAGCAAGCAGTGAAAATACCCCATTTGAGAGAGGCTAGGAGAGCACTTTGCTGGTTGGGAAGTACAAGGATATGAACATTCATTGCACTTATTAAATGATACTCAGAAAAGCAGGTTGCCACTCAGATTCAACTCTGAACTTAAGAGCAGCAGCACACAGCAGTAATGAGCCATCATAAAACTGTTTCCCATATACAAATGCTCTGAGTCTAACACCTCAGCAGTCCAGAGACTTCCTCCCACTGAAGTCTAGCAACAACTTTTAATTTGCTCCTCCCACATCATTGCACCAGTTTTTAAAAGACTCCACCATCAGGACTCTAAGGACTGTGCTGTGAAGTGGGTAAAATTCACACTCATGTTGTGCAGCCTCTCTCCACTCCAGGTACTAAAGATAAGCTATAACAGAAGAACACCTAGTTAGTGTCCTTTACAAAGTTTACAGTACATAAAAACCCTGAAAAAAGTTCTGCAGTTCTTATATTAAGAATTCTGTTTGATATTCTCACTGAATAGTCTGGATGACTGCAAAACTACATATGCCCTAAAAACAAACCTGATTAAGCAAGAAGGGAAATGGTTTTCCCTTTATTCTTAAACGGTATTTAATCCACAGCTAACAAACAGGTGGAAGAAGAGATTAATCAACAAGCCAACTCCTTCAAGGAAGGCTTTTGGATGCACCCACTTCATGACTCGGGGCTGTCAAAGAGATTTCCAGCAAAACAGCCAAGACGACTTTAGATTCCTGTTTTTTCAGGACAGCCAAGAAGGTTTTTTTGAGACAGCACAAGCCCAGGCGCCCCTCCCTTCCCGCTCCCTTGAACGCTAGCCAGGACGCCAGCGAGAAGAGATACCAGAAACCAGGAAGTGCCCTCCGTTCCCGAACTCCAGCGCACAGACGCCGTTTCCGCGGCTGCTCGCCGCCCCGCCCGCGCCTGGCTGTGGCCGCGATCCCGAAGGAGCCGGTGACGGGAGCGGCTCTGGGGCCTGCTGCCAGCGGGCCCGACACGCTGCCGGGCCCCCGCCGCGCACGCACAGGCGGCCCCGCGGGCCTCGCACCCCGCGCGCAGCAGGCCGAGCACGTGCCACCGCCGGCCCCTGAGGGCGCGAGGCGCGGTACCAGCGCGGCGGAGGGGACCGTGCGCCAGGCCCCAGGGGACTCCGGCCCGGGCCCGACGAAGGGCCCCCCGCCGCCGCCGCCACGCCCCCTCCGCCCCGGAGACCGAGAAGGGCCGCAGCTCGGGCCCGCCCCGCGCATCCCAGCCCCTCCCTACCCGGCCCGTTCGCCTCCTCACGCTGCTGTGACAACGCTACCCAGACCCGCCCAGCCGCCTCCGCGCGCGCCCCCGCACTTCCGGGCCGTTGCCGTCACTTCCGGTTTTAAGAGGACGGAGCCCAGGGCCTCACTTCCGAGCAGGCCTCGCCGCGCTGATTGGCCGGAGGAGAGCGTGAGGGGCGCGCGACCGACAATAGAAATGATAGAGTTCGGCTGCTGGAGAGAGCGTCTCCTGAGGCTCCGTTACCCTCCTGGCTTGGGAGCGGGGGACTTCCGGCCTCTTAATTGTTAGCGGAAGCCCTGGGGCTGACGGGCGGGACCGGAAGCACCGAACCTGGACTTGAGCCCCTGCGCTCTGACGTCACCGCGGCGGGGGCCTGGGCTCCGTCCGGAGCCTCGTGCCAGCTGCGCGGGGCCGGAGCTCAGCGGCCTGGGGTTCCCTCAGCGCCGCCCTCCCCGGCGCTCGGCGGGCCCGCTCGGCCCGTTTTCCGCTGCCGCCTTTCCCCTTCCGGGGGGAAGCGCGTTAGCGTCCCCCCTTCGCGTTCGTGTTTGTTGCGTTTCCCGAGCCCCGTCAGCGAGAGCCGGGGAGGGGCGCCGCTGAGAGGCAGCTCGCCCGGCCTCCCCGGGGCCTGGGAGGGGCGCACAGGGGGTGGCCCCCGCTCGCGTGGGGGCTCCGCGTGGCGTGAAGAGGCTTCCCAGAGACCCCTGGAGCGGGTGAAAGGGGATCCCAAAGCCCCTTTTCTGAGTAGGCAGCAGGGGTCAGTGTTCGCCTGTGCCGGGACAGGGGAGCTCCGGAATACCTTTGTCCCGGGCTGGAAACCTCAGGAGGCTCTGCTCAGTGGGGTGTTCCGCCTTTGCCAGCATTATCTGCCTGTGGGGATGCACTGAGCCGACCCCTTCTCCGCTCCCTTTGTCGGAGGGAGCGTCTGTCCCATGCAGTGAGCCTGGCCAGTTCCCCCTGCCCCATCCTTGTCTCAGGTGTCTTAAATGCAGACTTACCCAAGCTCTTACCCAGGTTTTAGCCCTACTTCCCTTACACAACCCTTATAGCTGGTCTTATATGCGCTTTGAACCTGGGCTTGCTTACCTGGCCGGGTAAGGTATAGGTACCCAGCTCCATGAAGATCTACCTCATGTGGAAGTTAATCTAGAGTCACTGTTGCTCATCCCAGGTCCCCATGATGATATCCTACCTTTGTGCTAGTTGTCCTGCAGCATGCTGTGTCTATGGGGAATCCACAACAATATAGCAAGCATCAGCTGTCTCCACTCCATCATCCAATATCCATGACGCACCACTACTTTCCACAGCTCGGAAACCCCTGATAAAATGCCCTCCAGTGTGCCCCATAGCCTCTACCCACATCCTGCCCCAACCGGGAACAGCTTGTGCTGCATACATCCCTTACCACCAGCTGGAACAGACAACTGAAGAGCATGCCGAGCTGGAAGTGCCACCATTAAATAGGCTGATAGGCTAAGAACACTTCTGCACAGAGGCCCAAGAGACAGGCCCAAGTTCTCCCACAATACATTGCAAAACAATTCCTAGAGCGGGTCCACTGACACTAAGTACCCTGCAATACACTTACAGAAATCCTAGTGCCAAATCCAGGTAACTGAAGTACCAGTATGGATGCAGCTGCACAGGTAGGAGTTGTGCAATTCTGCAGTGTGGATGCTCAGAGGCAGGCTTGGCAAACCTGGGTGCCCATGCCCGAGTACAGATTTAATAATTTTATTAAGATGATGTTGAAATAAAAAGAAAACAGTACAGAGTTTAAGCATAGAAGTTTCTAGTTATCAGGGAAGGTACAGGTTATCAAGGGGTGCAAAATTCAGTTTAGGTACGGGTGGCATAAGGAATACATAATCTGCAATCTCCCCGATTGGGGGTAAAAGTTTAACAGCTCAAAGTACAGACATTGAGATAGGGGGGTATGTTGTTCATATAATGGCTATGTTCAGGTGTGGAGTATAATGAGCGGATACGATGATGAGGATGGATTTACCCTCATTTGGTGAGATTTAATGTTCAGTGAATTTATGTTTCCAGTTCATATGGTCCAATGGAAAAAGTCTCTCGGTCCCTTTCTCATAGTTGATGCACGATGTCATACCGGCTCTCACCTGGTACTGTCGGTGGCCGGTGCCGTGTTTGATGTAGATGTCCCTGGACCATCATTTGGGGTAGGGAATCTTGATCTCATGCCTAGGGCACACACTCAACTTTTCCATGCTGAAAACTGTCTACTTAACTCTCATTGCTTATTTTAGCTGTGGAGTACATGAACAATAGTGATACTGCTTCCCATACCTGACTCCCCCCACCAGTGATGCAGAAGTTCTCATCTCTAGCCTCACCAGTCTAGAAAAGTCCTCATATTTTGTCACTTAATGATCATATGTTGGGCCTAGACACATGAACACTTAAGTCCAAATGAAGTACTTGTGGTTGCATTGGCACAAGGGCCCTGTGTATGATTTGCTTTCTCCTGATTTCTAGGTTTAGCATTCTTCTCCAATGCGAACACTACTGGGAAGGTAGAAGAGGTGTCCTGTACCTTATCAGCCACATTTGCTTTTAGAGCCATACAAGCTGAGGTTTCCTTTGCTGCATTTCCCCAAAGAGCTGGAAGATAGCTCTTTCCCAGGCCCAACTGCCAGTAGATTAGTAATGAGTACAAATTGAAGATTATGACCTCTAGATTCTTTTTGCTATAAGTTTTTTAATCAAACACCAAAGCCATTTATAGAAATAATTCAATAGGGAATTGATAGTTGAAAGACTAAATCTTTACTTGGCATTTTGGAGTCACTGAATTCGCACAGCAACTGTTTACAGTAAAAATACTGAAGAGGTGGGATCAGCACTGAACTTTGGAACCAAGTGTTAAATACAAAACAACTTCAACAAGAATTTCACCTCCTCCCAGAGACCAGCAAGGAGGTTTGTGCACCCTTTATTAACTCGTTACACTGGAGTGAGTCTTCATTTCATTTCAGGCAGATGTGTAAATAGAGCAGTATTGGATTGTACAGCTACCCACAGGATCTACTCAGCACAGGGAAATTGGTGCGCGCAGTTTACAGGCCACCACTGACACTGTGGGGGCAGGGAAGATCTGAGGCAGAACAGCAACCCCCCTTCCTCAGAGGAGAGTGACTTGACACCAACATTTAGAAATGGGCCTGCATACCAATTCCTCTGATCCCTACCCATCATATTCATATTCCTGCAGCCCCAGGCCAGGCTCCATCCCCAGACTCCAGCTGCAACACGAAGCAGACGTTTACAGCTCTAGACACATTTCTATTTTATTACGGCAAAGGTGAAAAAACCACCTCAGCCCAACAGGCAACCAGTAAAATTTATCCCAAAAATAACTCAGTACAAAACAGATCTGTTTCAGAATTAAAAAAAACCTTTACATGAGTTTAAAACCTATTCCAAAACATAAAAGTAAAACAAATTCCATCCTTGATATTAGTGGCCACAGTCATACACCCCTCCCTCCGGAGAGCATGGAATGAGATGTCTGGAGTCCTTTCCATGCAGGGGATGTGCTCACTGCTTTAACTGGTGTCCATCTAGAAGAAGAGAGAAGCTCAGTTATTCACAGTGCTGCAAGATAGAACACGAAGAAAAAGCTTTCCATGTGTCTCATGGAAACTTCTGTTAAAATACAGGTCTGTCAGATGTAGTTAAGCCTTTCTACACTAGAAAAGTGCACCATTTTAACTAGATTGATTTAATACTCTCTTGTTAAGCCAGTGGAACATGGCAAGCTATTAGATAAGAAAAGGTGAAACTGGTTTAATGCTTTAGAGATTTGTACCAGTTTAACTTGGTACATTTTAAAATTAAATTTTATTAAATCAGCATCCATTTCTAATTACAGTATTCAGTGTTGCTATTCAGTTTTCTAACTTAACAGCCTATAATAACTGGCAGCAAAGAAAACCCTTGCAATAGACTGCTTCTGCTTGAGAACTTATGATGTAATTATTGCATGCTGCTAATACACTTATGTAAACATTAAAGATAATCATACTCTAAAATATTTTATGGTAGACTAAGACATACTACAAAAACCTTATGCAGAAGAATATCCTATGACACGCTTCTGCTTTATATATTGTGAAACATTACAGTGGAATGAATTTTTGCAGTGGTTAGGTCATAGCAACAGTGTTTGCACAAATTTAAGGCTTTGGCTAGTTCTTTGTCAGCTGCTTCTTCAGTTTTTCCACTGAATGCATCCAATGAAGTGAGCTGTAGCTCACGAAAGCTTATGCTCAAATAAAATTTGTTAGGCTCTAAGGTGCCACAAGTCCTCCTTTTCTTTAGACAAGACCTTTGTTTCCCTGCACATACATAGTTGCTCTCTACTGTATATTTTCTAGTGCTGTGTCCAGTCTAATTCTAAAAGACCCCATTTAAATGCCACCACTTCACCCAGGGAGTGGATTCTACAGCTTAATACGTCTCGCTGTCAATGTTTTTTTCTGTTATTCTGTCTAAGGCTCTCCTTTCTCCCCAATCACCTCTAATTTCATCCTATTCCTTCCAGTTTAATTGGTGAGCTGTGGGGTATACTCTCAAATGTAGGATCTTCCTAAATCTTCAAGCTGATCTTCAGATCTTCAAGCTGCAGTGGGGGAGGTTTAGATTGGATATTAGGAAAAACTGTTTCACTAAGAGGGTGGTGAAACACTGGAATGCGTTACCTAGGGAGGTGGTAGAATCTCCTTCCTTAGAGGTTTTTAAGGTCAGGCTTGACAAAGCCCTGGCTGGGATGATTTAACTGGGAATTGGTCCTGCTTCGAGCAGGGGGTTGGACTAGATGACCTTCTGGGGTCCCTTCCAACCCTTATATTCTATGATTCTATGATTCTAAATTATGAAAAATGAATAGTCAATACGGTAGGTCCTGTGCTGTATGTTGATATTAAATTCATGTTAATGTTACCAGTTTTCAATGTGCTGCAGACTTTTGTAGTGATCTCACATAAAAACCTACAGACATTGCCAAGGAGAATCTTGTTTTGGCAGCTGGGTAAGGTGCAGGTGGAACTCAACACCCCAAGGATGTCTGGGAGGAACTGTGAGATCAGCATATGATAGGTCCATGTTTTTGCTGCAGTGATCAACAATACAAAGTTGACATTTAAACAGCGGTTAGGACTCATTGATAGTTTGATGAGATGACTAGGACAGCTCATGCCTCTCAATGTTATTTCTTCAGCCCACCTGCAGACTCAAGCAGACATCACTGCATCAATGAGCATTCAGTTCACAATTTAGTATTTTCTTTGCAACCAAGACAAGAAATATTTTTTTCTGTAAAATAACTCAGATTCTAAAGCACAATGCTGAAACAAATTCATTCCATTCAGGATATTCTATGGGACACACTGGATCCCACCTATCACCTCCCCACTTTGGCAGGTCAGTTCTGGCAAAACGCTCCTACTGGGTTGCAGCTTATGTTGGCAAAATGGCACTTTTGACAATTTAGCTGATTCCTGCCCCCTGAGCAAAATAAGCTATGTTGGCAAAAGTGCTGCTGGTATAACTATCAGGGATCACACATCACACCTGACTGACAACTTTGGAACAGTGGTTCTCAACATGTGAGCTGCTTGTGGCCCAATCAGTACATAGTTGTGGCCCATGTGACATCCTCAGGGCCATACCGGTAGTATATATATTGTGTGGATGTGGCCTACATAACACAGAGATGCATATGTGGCCCACAATGGTATATAGGTTGAGAACTACTATTTTGGAGCATAAACCTGGCCTTTAACCTGACAGTTTTGCATAGGCAAGCCCAAAATGGTATTGGTCATGTTGTAGATTTCTGCCCATCCATCCTTCAATCTCTTGCAGCCATGGTTCTAGTCACTAGGTCCCTTTGTATCATTTTCCCTCATTGTTGTCTTATTTCAGTATCACTGGGAGAGTTTCAGCAACACTGGTCCCAACCTGGATCAATCACCAGAAATGCCCTCTCATAACTACCTACTCTGTTGTTTGTGATCCTGTTTATAGTTTTAGCCAGTTTCCAAGCCCAGTTTTCCAACTGAGATTTATGAGGCTTTTCAATTCTTTATTAAAATCCCATGAGACCACGCCTACTGCATTTCCCCCAATGCTATTTTTGTAGTTCTATCAGAGAAAGCAATCAGGTTTGCCTGTCAAGATTTGCCCTTTATAAGCCCACAATACTGCTTATTGCTGCTTCATCTTCTAGATATTGAGTGATTTTCTAATCACATTTCTTCCATTATTTTACCAGTGGTGAGTGAGTCTTACTGGACAGTAGCTGACAGAAACACTTTCTGATTCTGCTAAACTGCCAAATCTACTCACTTCAATCTTCAGGCACACACACACCCCAGTTATCTATGACTGGATTTTTAAACGGTCAATGGTACAGTAAGTTTGTCACCCAACTGCCTTAGGCCAGGAGGTATTTCATATGGTTCAGCCAGCGGGTATTTTTCTCCCCCGAACACACTTCATCACCTACTCTTTAGCAAATTTAAGCTATGCAGCCTTTGGATTTATTAATTACATCATCTGGTTTATACATGGGACCTGCTTCCTCCCTTGATAACAGCCCCATCCTGCTCCAACTTTCCCTAGCAGCCTCAACAGACTACTCTGGTTTGCCTCTGTTTCTATTACTGATTCTTTATTACTGGTGTACAGAGCAATAGGCCTATAAATACAACCACTCCCCATCACAAGAGTAACACCAGCTCAGGCTTGTTAGTTTCCCCAGCCCTTCATTTACCCGTAAGATGTTGAATACATATTTTCAAATAAGTTCAATGTGCAGTTTTGTGTTCATTCATGTGTTCCCAGGATGTGCAACATGCAGTGTGCAATTACATGTGAGAGTTTGGCCCAAGTGAACACCCAGCCTGTTTGAAAAACTGGTCCTGGATGTTGCAGAATGTCCCCACCCCAGAGATGGCTGTTTCTCAATCATGAGTAAGAGCAGTTGGAGCATTTGTGGGAATGAAATTAACTACAGGAACCAGGTACTGCTTAGCCCCAAGGAGGCTTTTTTGGTTCCATGTTATGATAAATACTCCACCCTTTTCTGTGCAGCCATTGAGAGCTAAACCCTTCCATTTCCAGATAAGGACTGATTGAGCATCCACACTTACCCTGGCATTATAAGCATCCAACTGTGCATCTAGTTCTTCTGCAGAGAGCTGCTGTTTGGAACTTCTTCCAGCCCCTCTGCCTCTCCCTCGGTTCCCACCACGGTTACCTCGCCTGTTGCCACCTCCACCACCAAATCCTCCTGAACCACCACGGTTTCTGGTCATGCCTCCTCTGTTTACACTGTGAAGCAGAGAAAGAGCTGTATTACAGACACAGCACAGTCTAGTCAACCCCGTCAGCCACAAAGAAATGCAAATTCAGTGCCCATGCTAATGAGGAGCAACAGGCCAATTGCACAGGCCCATATCAAACAAAAGCTTCTCACCTCTGTGCTGGTCTCCGCTGTGTGTCTATCTGTGATGTAACCAGCTGAATGTTCATAGGGCGCCCTAAAAGAGAAAGCAATAATTAATCTTTATACACATGCCACTGGCATCTAGAGTCCTCCACCCAGCAAGTGAATTGTCCTGTGAAAACAGCCAAACAGACTCACCATCCAGGGGGACTCCATTGTACTGCTTCATAGCTTTCAGAGCATCTGCCTTTCTTTCAAAATGCACATCTGCTGTCCCTAAACTGCGTCCAGACCGATCATAATGCACCGCTGCTTTCTTCAAGGTCCCAAACTCTGCGAAGAGCTCCTGTGCAACAGAGACAGGGGAGCTGTTATCGCTAACCGAACTGCCGCTAGAACATTTATCTTACACCAGCACCAGACAGGAAAGGACAAGCGTTGGTAGCTTCTCTAATACAAGTACCATCTCTCAGAGGTTTACAGCTGTCAAAACTGTAAACATTAGCAGCCCAGGAAAAACCATCTATGAAAGGAGGGAACTCAAAGTCACACAAGAAGTTGCTCTAGAAGAAAACTTAATGGCCCTGGATAAAGGTAAATTCTTTAAGGAGGTCAACATACATGTGGACACGGGTGATCCAGTGTACTTAGACTTTCAGAAAGTCTTTGACAAGGTCCTTCAGCAAAGGCTCTTAAGCAAAGTAAGCTGTCATGGGATAAGAGGGAAAGTCCTCTCATGGATCAGTAACTGGTTAAAAGACAGGAAACAAAGCGTAGAAATAAATGGTCAATTTTCAGAATGGAGAGAGAGAGAAATAGCAGCATCACCCAGGGGTCTCTACTGGGACTAGTGCTGTTCAACATATTCAGAAATTATCTGGAGAAAGGGGTAAACAGTGAGTTGGCAAAATCTGAAGACAATACAAAATTACTAAAGATAGTTAAGTCCAAAGCTGACTGCGAAGAGTTACCAAGGAATCTCACAAAACAGGGTGACTGGGCAACAAAATGGCAGATGAAATTCAATGTTGATAAATGCAAAGTAATGCACATTGCAAAACATAATCCCCACTATACATACAAAAGGATGGGGTCTAAATTAGCTGTTACCACTCAAGAAAGATCTTGGAGTCACTGTGGATAATTCTCTGAAAACATCCACTCAGTATGCAGCGGCAGTCAAAAAAGCTAAGAGAATGTTAGGAACCTTTAGGAAAGGGATAGATAATAAGACAGAAAATATATTGCTCTGTATAAATGCATGGTACATCCACTCCTTGAATACTGCAAGCAGATCTGGTCACCCCATCTCAAAATAGATACATTGGAATTTGAAAAGGTATAGAAAAGGGCAACAAAAACGATCAGGGGTGTGGAACAGCTTCCATATGAGGAGAGATTAAAAAGACTGGGACTTTTCAGCTTGGAAAAGAGAAGACTGAGGAGGGATACGATTGAGGTCTATAAAATCATGACTGGTTTGGAAAAAGTAAATAAGGAAGTGTTATTTACTCCTTCACATAAGAACCAGAGGTCACTCACTGAAATTGACAACAGGTTTAAAAACAAACAAAAAAAAAGTTCGTATTCACGCAAAGCACAGTCAACCTGTGGAACTCATTGTTGGGGATGCTGTGAAGGCCAAAACTGTAACAGGCTTCAAAAAAAGAACTGGTAAATTCATGGAGCAGAGGTCCATCAATGGCTATTAGCCAAGATGCTCAGGGATGCAAACCCATACTCTGGGTGTCCCTAGCCTCTGACTGCCAGAAGCTGGGAGCAAATGACAAGGGTTGGATCACTTGAAAGTTGCTTGTTGCAGTGCTTAACTTCCCTTACAGTTATGAAATTTTTCCCCAATGTCTAACCTAAATCTCCTTTGCTGCAATTTAAGCCCATTACTTGTTGTCCTGTCCTCTGAGGACAAGCAGAACAATTCATCACCCTCCTCTTTATAACAACCTTTTTACATACTTGAACACTGTTATCATGCCCTACCACCGTGTCTTCTCTTATCCAAATTAAATAAATCCAGTTTTTTCAATCTTTCCTCCTAGGTCATGTTTTCTAGACCTTTAATCATTTTTGTTGCTCTTCTCTGGACTTTCTCCAATCTGTTCACATCTTTCCCAAAGTGTGGTGCCCAGAAGTGGACACAGTACTCCAGCTGAGGCCTTATCAGTGCTGAGTGGAAGAACTGGCTCATGTCTTGCTTACAGCACTCCTACTACATCCTCAAATGATGTTTGCTTTTTTGCTGTATTACACTGTTGACTCATTTAGTTTGTGATCCATTATAACCCCCCAGATCTTTTTCTGCAGTACTCCTTCCTAGGCAGTCATTTCCCATTTTGTATGTGTGCAACTGATTAGTCATTCCTAAGTGTACTACTTTGCATTTGTCCTTGTTGAATTTCATCCTATTTATTTCAGAGCATTTCCCCAGTTTGTCAAGATCATTTGTTTTCTAATCCTGTCCTCCAAAGCACTTGCAACCCCTCCCAGCCTGGTATCATCCGCAAACTTTGTAAGAGTACTCTTTATGCCATTATCCAATTCATTTATGAAGATATTGTATAGAACCAGACCCAGGACAGATCCCTGCAGGAGCTCACTCAGTGCTCTTCCAGCTTGACTGTGAACCATTGATAACGCCTCTCTGAGTATGCTTTTCCAACCAGTTGTGCACCCACCATAGAGTAGAGTCATCTAGGCTAGATTTCCCTAGTTTGCTTACGACAAGGTCAAGTGAGACAATATCAAAAGTCTTACTAAAATTGAGATATATCACAGCTACTGCTTCAGCCCTATCCACAAGGCTTGTTACTCTGTCAAACCAACTTAATTTCCTTTGACATGATTTGACGACAAACCCATGTTGCCTGTTACTCCATTATCTTTCCAGGTTCCCAAATTAAGCTAACTGGTCTATAATTCCCTAGATTATCCTTATGCCCCTTTTTATAACAAAGTACTATATTTGCCTTTTTCCAGTCTTTAGGGATGTCTCCCATCCTCCCTGAGTTCTCAAAGATAATTGCTAATGGCTCAGAGATCTCTTCAGCCAGTTTCTCAAGTATTCAAGGATATATTTCATCACGGCCTGCCAACCTGAAGGCATCTAACTTGTTTATCATGTTTGAAAAAACCTCTTAATGCTCCTAAGATGTGGGTTAGCATATCTGAGGTCACTTTAATTAACCACTAGGGCCCAGATCCTCAAAAGTATTTCTGCTCCTAATTGCAACTGAAGTCAATGAAATTTAGTGGCCTAACTATGTTCAAGAATCTGGGCCTAGGTAACTAGGGGGAAGCTAGCCTTCAAACCTGTGAGCCTGCATTTTAGTTGTATTAGGCTAACTCAAAATACTTAGGATGTATTTTTCAATTGTCAGTGAAGACTAGCCGTTAGAGTCTTTCCATATGCCTCGATGAAGATGGGTACAGCAAATGACAAACACAAGGGCTGCCACATTTCAGCTGTGAGATCTTGGCTCCTTTACAGTATCATGAGAGTTACAGATGCTATAGAGCAACAGTACATAATTCATATGCTTTTTGTTATATCCCTTCTCTGCAAAAGCATGTTCCCACCTCAGTTGATTAGAGACCCCCCACAAGTCAGTACATGTTTTGTCGAGCAGCATATGAGTTCAGAACTGGAAGAAATGCATTTACTGGGATTTGCAGGTCTCAGATTTTGGGCAAGTTACATTAAATTTTCAGACCAAACATAATAGCCTTCCCACACAGGCACCTTTGCTCAGTCATTTATTAAACATTAAATGAACTAGAGAGGAACAAAATACCATTTTTTTGCACTCCAGTCACATCAGACAGTACTAAAGCAGTCAATCAACAATAAAGAGTCCAAAAATAACTGCCGTAGAGATCACTATATCATTCCATGAGGAAGGGTCCACAGACCTCAGAAAATGCAACATTACCCCAAAATGCCCAAGCCAACCACCCTAAAGTGTCTCCCTTGTGGTTTTTCCAACACTTGTAAGGGGGTGGGGAGGGCTTTCTTACCTGGATATCTGCATCCGACACACCAAAGTCCAGATTAGAAACCAATAGCTTCCCCCCGGTTTCCACGCCAGCCCCAGCCCCAAAGCCGCTGTCGAACAGGTCATGCTGCCACTTTTCCGGGAGTTGCTTTGGCTGAAACAGAACAAATATTCTCACTGACCATCCCGGACCAAGCCCCCCGCCTGGGATCCCGCCACCCCCCAGGGCCTCGGCTCTCCTTCCTCCTCGCTCCCATCTAGATCCGCTGCGGGGAGGACTCGTTCTTCCCGAGCCCCTGAGCCCGCTCGCCCCGGCTCGGCCACGAGACGACTGCCGGCTGCCGGGAGAGAACAAAGCGCCTCCCGCCGGGCCCGCCTGCCCCCAGGACCGAGCCCCAGCCCCTCGCGCCTGCTGCTCCCACAATCCAGTCTGCGGCTCCGGGGGCCCGGCCCCTGGGTCCACGCGCGGCGCCCCGCCCCCGGCTACGGGGCCTCGGCCGGCGCCCGCCCCCGCTTCGCTCCGTACCCGGCTGTAGGGCGCGGGCCGGTTCCTGCCGCCGCCTCGGGCCATGACCGGCCTGTTCCGCAGGGGGCCGCCGCCTCCCGCTCGCCCCGCTCCGACGCTGCCCCGGCCGGGCCCCCCTCCGCGGGCGGCGCCTCCGCGGCCCCGGCCTCCGCGGCCGCCGCCGGCGCGACCGGCCCCCCGCTGGCTGCGGTTCAGCTTGATGATATCGTCCAGGGACATGTCCATCTTGTCGGCCATGATGGCGGCTCCGCTCCGGGGCCTGCACTTCCGGCCGCGCTGCGCCGGCGCCGGAACCGGAAGGGGCGGGCCAATGGCTCCAAACGAGGGCGCAGCGGCTGGACGCCCGGCTCTATAGGGCCGAGGCAGGGGCGGGGGCGGGGCGCGTCTGGCGGGGGGCGGGACTTCCGGCACGCGGCCATTGAGATTCCCGCCGGCCCGAGCCTGTGAGCTGGAGTCGGTTGTGTCGTCTCGGGTGGGGCTGCTGGGATGCGAGCCGGGATCCGGGGGGGGGCCTCCCCGGGGGCGGAGCCGGACAGATCCGATCGGGGGGCGCGCCGGGGGCGGGGCGGGAGAGATCCGCGAGGGGGGGTTCCCCGGGGGCGGGCGGAGAGATCCGCGGGGGGGGCTTCCCGGGGGGGGCGGGAGATCCGCGGGGGGGGCTTCCCCGGGGGGGGAAGATCCGCGGGGGGGGGCTTCCCCGGGGGCGGAGCCGGACAGATCCTATCGGGGGGCGCGCCGGGGGCGGGACGGGAGAGATCCGGGGGGAGGGGACGCCCCGGGGGCGGGGCGGGAGAGATCCGCGGGGGGGGCTTCCCCGGGGGCGGGAGAGATCCGCGGAGGGGGCTTCCCCGGGGGCGGAGCTGGACAGATCCTATCGGGGGGCGCGCCGGGGGCGGGGCGGGAGAGATCCGCGACGGGGGGGGGTTCCCCGGGGGCGGGACGGGAGAGATGTGGGGGTGGGGGGCTTCCCGGGGGCGGAGCCGGAGAGATCCTGTGGGGGGGCTCCCCGGGAGCGGGAGAGATCCGAGGGGGAGGGGGTTCCCCGGGAGCGGGAGAGATGGGGGGGGGCTTCCCAGGGGCGGGAGAGATCGGGGAGGCTTCCCGGGGGCAGAGCCGGACAGATCCTATGGGGGGGGCTCCCCGGGGGCGGGAGAGATCTGGGGGGGGGTGTCAGACTCCTTTGAGTCTCGGCTTGCAGTGGTGCATTCCGGGTCATGCTGAGCTCTGGGGGGCTGCAGATCCCCTGTTTCGCATGTCAGCACCTTTCCCTTGGGGTGCGGGGAAGCCTTTCCTTCTCAGCCCTGGTCATGGCGGGAAGCGATCAAGTGACATGCTAATAGGGGCTGCTGAGATCCATTTTCATTCTGGCCCATGGAAACACAAAGGTGCCCACATCCTCTCAGCAGTGCAGCAAGGAAGCCTGGAGCGTAAGGGCAGGGAGCTCAGGCCTCTTAGGCTCCTGCTACTCCTACCACGGAGTCAGACCAGTTGCCTGACCTTGACCAAATCCGTTCCTCTCACTAAAAGAAAAGGAGTACTTGTGGCACCTTAGAGACTAACCAATTTATTTGAGCATGAGCTTTCGTGAGCTACAGCTCACTTCATCGGATGCATACCGTGGAAACTGCAGAAGACATTATATACACAGAGACCATGAAACAATACCTCCTCCCACCCCACTCTCCTGCTGGTAATAGCTTTTATTGTTTCATGGTCTCTGTGTATATAATGTCTTCTGCAGTTTCCACGGTATGCATCCGATGAAGTGAGCTGTAGCTCACGAAAGCTCATGCTCAAATAAATTGGTTAGTCTCTAAGGTGCCACAAGTACTCCTTTTCTTTTTGCAAATACAGACTAACAGGGCTGTTACTCTGAAACCTGTTCCTCTCACTGTTACTCAGTTTCCTCATCTGTAAAGTGGGGGGTGTTTATCCTGATATGCCCAATGATGGGGCAAGGTCACTAAATGGGTGTTGGTGAGCCAGGGTTTAAAATCTGGGGTGAGAATCTCCTGAGGACAGAGGTTCACTAGTAGCCACTGAGCTGTGGGGGAGGGAACAGCCCATCCACATCCTACTTTGAACTGCCCTAGGGGAGGAAGCAGTGCTGGTAAGCTGCATGGCCCCTGGGGAGATGAGCTGTTTCAGCTGGGAAACCAAAGGGTTAGAAATGAAACTCAATCTGAGCAACTGGTTCTCCTGCCAGGTGCTGACTTGACTCTGATGCACACAGCCTGGCTAGGATGAAGGTGAAGATAAAGAGCTGGAATGGTGTAGCCTCCTGGCTCTGGGTGGCCAATGATGAGAACTGTGGCATCTGCCGGATGGCCTTTAATGGCTGCTGCCCAGACTGTGAGTAACCCAGGCCCCTTGGCCCCTGCAGTATTTCAGCCCAGGTGCTCCCTTTTCTCCTCATAAGTTTTGTCCCTTTGTAGGTAAGGTGCCTGGAGATGACTGCCCCCTGGTGTGGGGCCAGTGCTCCCACTGCTTCCACATGCACTGCATTCTCAAGTGGCTGAATTCACAGCAAGTCCAGCAGCACTGTCCTATGTGCCGGCAAGAGTGGAAATTCAAGGAGTGACAGAGCCCCCTGCAGCCAGCAGATCTACTTGGATTTAATGGGCTGTTGTTAAAGTGTTTTGTTGGGATTCAGCCCCTCTCTCCACATCCTGGAACAGTGAATTATTTATACAGCATAATATGTATCCCTGGCCCTTATAGAGAACTTTAGCAGATAATTCTTGTCCCCAAGTAATTGACTCACCATAGGCAAAAAGGAAGCCTGGGGCAGAAGGAGCAGTGGAGACATGACTGGAAGCCTCTGAGTGGTGCATGTTAACCTTTCCCACCATGACGCTGGTTCCACACACTGTCAAAATTTTCAGTATTATTAATTGCTTCATTCTGGGCACAGTCAGCATCTCAACTTTCTCTGTTCCCATAAGGTCTACACAACACATGTGGGCCTCAGTAAAAAGCCAGGGGTTGGCCTGGGTACATCTCATGTTGGCCCTTCTATGATAAGGGCTCCTTTTGCCATGCAGACATGGGTCTGTGGTTTGGGTGCCTTATTTAAAACACCCGGGACCTGATCTTTTTTAGTATCCTTCACAACTCCACCCAAAGTCAGCAGGAGCTCTGAACCTTTGAAAAGCTGGCTTCTTGTGGCAGCTCTTCCTTAACTAAAAGGGACCTTCCTGTTTAAATAAACCCTTTCCCAGCTCTTGCATCATGGGAACCTTCCCATCCTTCTTCTCTGAAGAGACCTCTAGACCTGTCCTGACGGTGCCTCCCTCCATTCCCTGAGAAATCACCACTATCCAGTGATGTGGGTATTCTGTACCTTACTGGTGAGAGATGGTCACATCATCTCAAAGCTTTCTTTAGTTCAAATGGGATTCTTAGGGCCCTATGCAGCTCTCCATCCAGGTGCTCAGCTCCTGATGCCTTTGGCAACCATTTCCCCATGCACCACAGGCAGGCTGGGCCCTGAACTGATGCCTTCAAATACAGTAGTAGAGAAGTGAAGGCTGTTGTGTGGCCAGTAGGATAAGTGGCCTGCCTCCCACCACAGCCAGAGACACATCCACAGGTCAGGTGTGCTGTTCAGCACCAGACTCATGTAAATTCTTTGAACCCAAGTTGCTTTGGGACTAGACCCCTTGCCAACAGTGTAAGTCAGTTTCCAGGTGTAAGGTGGCAATCACTGGACTGGTTTCAATAAACTCATAGCTGTGATTAATTTCTCTTCATGCTTTTTGCCTCTGAGCCAAGTGGGGGGGTGTCTCCAGAGCTGGTCAGATACCCGCAAGCACACCACAAACAGCAGAGAAAGGTTGTTGCCATGCCATCAACAAAGACTTTCCCTAGATGTGTGGCAAGGTGGTAGAATGTGACCTATGGCTTTAACTTAGACATTCTGGCTGTCCCTGCTACGTGGAGGGGGCCCTGCACTACCCTGGCACATTGCTCACGTCCTACAGACCAACTGTGCTTGATGCTTCATCCTTGGCAAAATCCCTCCCCAGTATGTCAGTCTTCTCTGCCATGCAGCCCACCCCCAGGTGGAATGTATAATGGGAGCCTCTTAGTGTGGAACCTAAGTGATGGATGCTTATCAGCCTAGAACAAGGACTTCTCCTGGAAATGTGACATGAGGGGATCCTTTATTAAATGGGCAGTGGGTGGGGGCAAAGAGTACAATGTGTCCCCTTAAGGATGGGGCTGCTAGTTGAACCAAAGACACAAGATGTAACAATGATCCCTTTGTGGGGTTCTGCAGGGGAGAATGATACGCAGTGGGAATCAATTAGTGGGACCAAAAGTATGGGGTGGCTTCTCATTTCGGCCTGGTACCTGAGCCAGCCAGAGTGCAGCTTGCAAAGCCCCTCACCTATTCAGTCCCAAGCCCCTAGTTTAATGCTGTGCCCTCTCTCCGGCGGCCCTCTGTGTACATACACAGGGACTGTCCGATCCACTAGAGGGCACCAGAAACCAGGCGATCAACAGGGAGAGCCCGCGGTCTGTTTGCCTCGCCCTGCCCTCACAGTTAGCGCAAACCGGGGCTCCCCAGCATAGGGGTGCTCAGTCCGCTCCCGAAACCACTTGTGGCAGCGCCGGTGCAGTGGCCCACCCCACTAGTCTGAAAGGGGGCTACTTCCTTGTGTAGGGGGCAGCTGGGGGAGGTTGCTTGTGCTGGCTTGAAGTGGTTTCCATTAGATGCAGGGTTTCAAGTTTCGTTCAATGGCTCTCAGCATCCCCACCGCGCAAACTGGTCCAGCGCGCCTGCTTGGAGGCAGCGCGGCTCCAGGAATGAAAGAATGTCGGGGGAGCTCCCAAGAGGGCAGGTCGCTCCAGGGACGGGACAACCCCAGGGAGCCTCGGAGGGTAGCCCGGCTTTATCGACCCCCAACCCGCCGCTTTCCAGCTTGGGGGGCACTCGTACTGGCTGGGGGCCCGGACAGACCCCCACCGGGCTCAGAGGCTGTGCCGGCGGCCCGCAGGGGTGGGGGAGCCCTGGGCACCCGGACGGGGATTTCAGCAGAGGGGTTTGGGGCTATGAACTGCAGCTTGTAGGGCGGTGACTGAGCAGGACCCAGCCCGGGCAGTTCGCAGCCTTTTGTCAGACGTGTTCGCGCCCGGCCCCCTTTTACCGTACGAGCGCAGAGCTGTGTCCCGGGGGGGTCCGGCTCCCGCCGCTGGCCTCGGCCGGCCGCTCTACGGAGCTTGAGTTGCCTTTGCTCAGAGTTGCCGTACGTCTGTCGGCCCCCCCATGTCCCCCGGGGGCCGGGGCCGGGGGTGCAGCGCCGAGCTTATCCCTGCGCCCCACAAACCGGCTCTGTCCCGGGGCGGGGCGGGGCCCCTGGCGACCCTGCACCGAGCCCCCCACGGACTGGCCGCCGGCCCCGCGCCGAGCCCCCCCAGCGCGCCCGGGCCCCGCGTCTCCGCCTCCGCGGGGCCCCGCGCAGCGCCAGGCGCCTCCCCCGGCTGCCGCCCCCCGCCCGCTCCCCGCTATAAGGGGCGGCCGATGGCAGCGCCTCACTCGGAGCCGCCGCCGCCCGACCCCGCTGCACCATGCAGGGAGCCCGCGCCCTGCTCTGCCTCGCCCTGGCCGCGCTGCTGGGCCCGCCCGCCGAGGCGTGGTACAAGCAGGCGGCCGGCCCCAGCTACTACTCGGTGGGCAGAGCCTCGGGACTGCTGTCCGGGGTCCGCCGGGCGCCCCACGTCCGCCGCGTCGAGAGCGGGACAGACAGCGCCGAGCGCCGCGCCGCGCCGCTGCCCCCCGAGCCGGGCCCCGCGCTCAGGAGCATGGTGAGTAGCCCCCGGGGCTGCCCCCAGGCCCCCACTCAGAGCCCCGGGGGGGGTGCTGCCCCAGGGCTGCCCCCAGGCCCCCACTCAGAGCCCCGGAGGGGAGGTGCTGCCCCAGGGCCCCCCTGTCTCAGAGTGATCCCCAGCAGCCCCTCCAGCCTGCACCTGCAGGACCCGCCCCCGCAGGCTGGAGCCCCCCCGCCCCCCGGCGGGGCAGCAGCAGCCCCTGGCCCGAGCAGGCAGGAGTGGGGGGAAGAACTCTGCCTCCCTTTCACCTCTGAAGACACAGCAGGCGCTGGGCTGCCCAGCCAGTCCCTCGTGCTGCGTGGGCACGGGTAGGGGGTATGTGTGCCGGACGGCTCTCTGCAGGCTGTAACCACCCCCTTCTCTGCCCCCAGGCTGTCTGTGTGAAGGACCTTGCCCTGGAGCTGCAGAGCTGCCAGCTGCTGTCCGGAGCCCCCAGCACTATCCAGTGCAAGGCTGATGTCACCATCTCCCTGGACCCCTCAGACTGTACCAGCACCTAATCCCTCTTGCCCCACGCTATGGGGGAGGGGCACCCTATCCTCTGCATCTGACAATAAAGGCACCTTTAAACCATCTCTTCTCTCCTCTGCCTGGGGCGGGGGGAGGAGATGCCAGCCCTAGGAGTGCTCTGCCCCCAGGGTTCTGCTCACACCTGCTTCCCCCTGGAGGGACCTGCCCCTGCTCACCTCATGGGGATCCCTAAGAGGCTATGCTAGGAGGAAGGGGCCACAGCTGGGAACTTGCTCCCTACCCCACCAGCCAGGGCAGGCTGAGCATCACTCCACCCCCAAAGACCCCCACTCAGCATGGGACCAATCACACTAGCCAGCCAGAGACATGCAGGACTCAGGCCACAGCAGCCTCCCATTGACAGGATCAGGCCCTTCCCCAGTTATCTTACTGTCCTGGCCCAAATGCCATCCATTCAGCTAGCTCTTCCCCCCTTCCTCCCCTTTAATGCACAGATGGGGGGTGGGGGTGGAAACAGCATTTATTTACATCTCTCACTGCAGTAGCAGGGAGCTCAGAATCTCTCGCAAGGGATCTGGGCTAAGTCTGGGTCCAGGCCTTTCTCTCCCACCCCTACCCCCCGAAGTCTGGAAAAAGGCAGCAGGCTCCTGTGGGCAAGGGGGGCTTCCCCCCAGCCCCATTAACTGAAAAGGGGTGGGGAGTGTGGGACAGAGCCTCTGCCGAGCCCCCGGGCCTACTGACCATCCTAGCCTGATCTGCACCAGGGGCCCAGGTAGGTGTGGGGGAGGCCAGCCCTTGGTTTTAAATTGGAGGCTCCAACTGCTCCTGCAGAGAGCCTGCCTCCAGCTGGTTCAGTGTGGTGCTGATGAAAGGCAAGAAGCCAGCCCCCAACCATAGACTGTCAGGGGCAGGAGCTGCTGCAGTACCTGATGCAGGGGAAAATGGGAGATTCAAAGCACATGCACAACCCCAGACACCCACCTCAGCCCTGCCCCTTAGGGATTAGAGCAGGGGTCCTCAAACCGGGGGTCGGGAGCCCTCAGGGGGTCACAAGGTTATTACAGGGGGGGGTTGTGAGCGGTTAACCTCCACCCCAAATCCTGCTTTGCCTCCAGCATTTAGAAGGTGTTAAATATATTTTAAAGGTTTTTAATCCATAAGGGGGGGTCGCACTCAGAGGCTCGCGATGTGAAAGGGGACACCCATAAAAAAGTTTGAGAGCCACTGGCTTACAGTTGCCATGCATGGGGTAGTATTACCTCAACCTGGGCACAACGTGGGGGGAGGAGGGAAGAGGTCCTTATCCCAGATGGAGCCAAGCAGAAGGAGCTAGTCCCAGAAGAACAGAAGGCTTAGGGATGATGGTGCCAGGAGCCAGGCAGGCCCCTTGATGCCATCATATGTCCCTCTCCGGCCCAGTCAGCAGTCCTGTCTGTAGCCAACGGCATCTCACGAACTCTAGCAGCAAGCCTCCCCCCAGAATCACAGAGGCAGAAAGCAGCCCCTGGCACTGCAGCTCCCCTGCCTGCGCTTCACAGCAGAGCGGCTGCCTCCAGGTTTTCCTGGACGATGGTGTCCGTCACCACGTGGAATACACCCTGCACACTGCATGTGTCGGTGGAGACGTGGTGGTAGATCAGTTTCTGGGGGGTCTCACTGCACGACAGGAAGAGGCTGGTGATACATCGGGCTGCAGCACCCACATCACAGTCTGCACCTGCAGGGGAACAGATGAGGGCAAGTGAGACGGAAAATCTGCACCACTTCCCCCTGTGCTGCACACGCACCATGCAAACGCCCATCCCCACAGCAGGCAGGAGCGCGCTCTCCCAGGACAGGGCAACAGGAGACGGCCATCCCCAAGCAGGGGTGGGCTGGACAGCACCTGTGCTCTTGCTTGTAACCAGGTGGCAGCCCTCTGCCCCATCTGGCACGTAGGGAATCTACTTCTAGGAGCAATCCACTGACGGTCCTGGCCTGTCCCTAATGGAGGAGCCCACGTGGGCCAGCACAGGACACAGGCCCAACCCCAAGGAGCTCACCATCCAGAGGGGCACAAGGAGGCTGCGGCGGGGGAGCTATCAGCAATGGAAAAAGTGCAGTTTAAGGGGAGGCTGGAAAGGGGAGAGTGAGGCTGTTCCAGGTCTTGGGACAGCAACAGGCCTGAGACAGGGGAGAGGCTCGGGCAGGGTAATCCCTGAGCAGGTGCACAATGGCTGGGATGCAGACAGGGCTTTAGTCAGAGTTGGAGGGAGGGGCAGGTCTGCCTTTATAAACCAGCCACCCAGTACCAAGTGTGACATCACAATTTACTGCCATGGACTCTACTAGTGTCATGTCAGTCTGTGACATCACTAATTAGAATGGAGAATGTCTAACCAGGGGCAATGCTGGGAAAGGAATTTAAGGAAGACAGCAGGAAAATGGCAAAAGGCCAGATGTCAGCACAAGGCTTAATCCTGGCTGACCTTGGGGCCAGGTCTCCCACTGCCTGCTCCGCAGCTCCAGAAGGGACACAAGGTTCTTTCTTCAGGGGAGAATTGGCTCCACTTAGTGGGAGCTGCACTTGCCCCCCCCCCCATATCTGCCAAGGAGGAGAACAGAGTCTGGCAGTGTTTTGAGACCACCCCTCAACTCCCCAGCAAACCCTGCTCTCTGCTCTTAGCTATTTATTTCGGCTGGGCTCAGCCAGCACCTTACACACCTTCTCCTTGTCTCATGCTTATTCAGTCTCTCCACCAAGGGCTGTAACGTCCCCAGCTTTCCTAGTGTGTGCTGCCTGCCATTTTGTATTCTGTGTTGAAGAACCAGCTGGCCTTGACAGGGGCCAGTCTATTACACTGCAGTCCAGCCAGGAGCCTGGCTCAGGCAAGGTGCTGGACACCTAGCTGAACAACAGTGACTGAGGAGCCATCAGAGAGCTATCTAGGACCATCAACAGGGATTATCTCTCACTGCTGGTCCTACCATCTCACAATTAACTCTCTACAGGTGCCTGACTGGAGGGGCAGGACTGGAGTTTCTCAGTCTGGGCACAGGGCTAAAGGGAGTAAGACTGTATTTTAGAGAGAGTGCTCTCAGAGAAGTGGGGTCATCACACGCCAGAAGTCTAGGCTGGAGAGGAGACAGAAGGCAAGAGGGATTCTGCCTGGCCTGACATGCAGACTTCGGACTCCCAGAAGGGATGAGCTCAGAGTAGGGGAGGGGACGTCTGAGGACTGTTTGTCAGTTTGCAAAGATCCATAACTCTCTAGCACTTATAAGAGTAAAGTGACCGTGGATAAGAAATCCCCTTGCTAAGCTTGTGTTCCTTGCCTTCCCACCATGCTGCCCCTGAAGGGGTTAAACTAGAAGCCAGAGCATCTACAGCTAGGTGGAACTCTGGGGCATAATGTAAAAAGAAAAAGGAGGACTAGTGGCACCTTAGAGACTAACTCATTTATTTGAGCATAAGCTTTCGTGAGCTACAGCTCACTTCATCAGATGCACGCAGTGAGCTGTAGCTCACGAAAGCTCATGCTCAAATAAATTGGTTAGTCTCTAAGGTGCCACAAGTCCTCCTGTTCTTTTTGCGAATACAGACTAACACGGCTGCTACTCTGAAACCTGTCAATGGGGCATAATGTGTGAGTGACTAGAGGCTCAAGAGGTATGAGGCACGGGTTTTGGGGACTAGGGCACTGGGGTTGCAAAGCCCCATGACTTAAAGAAAAGCTCACAAGGAAAGTGCTCTAGAGACCCAGAGTCTTGGGCTTAAAGACAGGTGGATAGGGCCCAAGTACAACAGATTAGTGACTGTCCAGAAGAGAGGACTAAGCTGGGTTGCAACATGTGGATTTCAGTCCCAGCAAGAAGCACCCCTAGGAATGGTTCTGTCCCTTGGGACCACATGGCACCAACTACAGACCCTGAGAAAAGCCAAAGGGGCCCTCAGTGCAGATGTTCTCAAGGCTCAGGTGTGGGCTGTGATGCTCCACAGGACACAAAAGCCTCAGCTCCTCACCATCTTGTGGTTTCCCCTCCCTGAGCTGAGCAAGGCCATGCCCTGCAAAGTGAGGTTCCCGGAGGCTAAGGCTGCTCAGCACACTGTAGGACTTGGCCCTAAGGAAACCATTCCGCACTGGTTGGCTCCAGCAGAGGGGATGAGGGTCTTATAGTAAAGCTAAGGATTCACAGGCCCCAGAGCTCAGCAGCTCCAGGTAAACTGCTTCGCTACGTGAACACATGGGACCCTAGCCCCCATGCTGGAGGCTAATTAGTGTGTCATGAGTGTGCATGCTGCCCTGTCAGACCCCAGAACAGGGAGGCTGCAACAAACCAAACTTCCTAACACTGACTACTCCTGCCAAATTCAGCAGCTGGAGAGGATCTTCCCTGCTCTGAGGCTCAGCTTGCTAATCTCAGCTCAGGCAGAGAAGCAGGCACTTAGAGACAAAATCCATGTGGAGATGTTTATTTTATAAAGACAAATCTGAAGAGGCAGGGAAGTCATCTAAACTGGTTCCCATCCTGTACCTGGCTCACTACTGCTCGCGACACCCACCAGGTCACAGCAGGGACCCCTGCTCCTCTGGCAGTCTGTTTCTGTGCTGGACCTGCCCTTGTGCACACCCAGGAGGAGGAGCAGCACCATGCCCTGCCACCTCAGCAGCAAAGATTGGTGAATGCCCAGGGGCAGAGTGGGACGGAGGGAACCTACCTGGGTACTGAGGAAAGGAGAGACGCAGGTGCCTCCCCAGGTGCAGGATCTTCTCTTGGAGAAGGTTGATTTTATTCAGAAACAAGATCTGTGAAAAAAGCAGGATGATGAGAACCTGTCCTGGCCCTACAGGTCCTGTTCCCCAAGTCCCCTCCTCTCCTCCCGACCATGGCACTGCAGCATAGACCCCACCCACCCCCAATGCCTTATCTGCAGGACAATGCTGGGACGGTTAAAGGGGCAGCTTTGCCTAGTCTCCACTGAGAATCCTCACTTTGGGAGGGGGAGGAGATTTAACATCTCTCCCTCCCACACCATCTTCCAGCCCAGCACTGCAGGCCAGTGGCAAACAGCGGCGATTTAGGGCTTGGTTCATGGTAGTCCCATGGCTCTGCCAGAGCCAGACTACAGGAGATCGTCCAGCGCAGGGGGATTCCTTGGCTGGCTAAGCGCTGCTCCCTCGTATGTTGCTGTGCTCCAGCTACTGCCAGAAGGCAGCTGGGCACAAGGTAGGGCAAATGCCGAGGCTGGTGCCAATACTGTACAGCCCCACAGGCGCCATGAAGCCACCTCTCCCACTGCCTGGGATCCAGCACCAACCTCGGGCTGGGTTCAAGCAGCATAGCACAGTTGGTCTGACCGTAGCACCTAGAAGCCCCTGCCAAGATCAGAGCCCTCATGCTGAGAGTGCCGCACAGACAGCGAGAGAGAGTCCCTGCCCCAAAGGGCTCCCAGTGACAAGACAAGACAGGCAAAGGGTCCCCTGCCATCTCTATGCACAGGGTCACCCAGCACACTAGTGGCAGAACCAGGAGCAGAACCCAGGACTCCTGAGGGCCCTGACAACAGGCCCTGAATCCTCACAGTGCCCTGGGAGGTAGGGGAGAGTTCACCCCATTGTATCAATGGGGTACAGGGAGAGGGAAGTGACTCACCAAGGTCATGTGGTCAGTGGGAAAGCCGGGAGTCAAGATTCCCAGTCTCCTGCTTTAATCACTAGACTAGGCTCCTGCCTATGCCAAATCCACCGGGGGCAGCCAGGGGACCCTTGTGGGGAACAGAGGAGGTGACCGGAGGTCCCACTTCTAGGCCCAGTTATCCTGTCAGGAACAGGATTGACTGACCACCCCTGGCTTGAATTGCAGGAACTCAGTGCTCATAAGGCAGATGCCACTGTTTAATCATCTCATTAGCAGAAATAAATTAACCAATTAGCGAATGAGATAAGTGACAGGGCCCGGCACTAACTAACACTGTCAGGCAGAACCAGTCCCAGCTCCACAGAGACAGCAGCAGCTGCTTCTTAATTACAAGTAGCAGCACCATGCAGAGAAGGAGCTGGAGTCCAGGCTGCCAGAAGTGGTCCCAGTGTCTCATCACAGTGCCAGGATCCCCGGAGCAAAAGCCTGCTGTGCTCAGGTAAGGGGAGCAATGGGATAGCAGGACCATCCCACCCCTGCCATGGGCTGCAGCTTGCCCATACGCCACCTGATGCTGGGACAGTGCAGGGTGGGGAGAGCCGTGAGCTCGCTGCCCCATTCCTTACAGCTCCTCCTGCTGGGGGAGGCTGGGACGGGAATCTCTGCAGCCAGGGCTTCTGCACTGCTCCCTTACAGGGCCTCTTGCTGGGACTCACCAGGGAAGTGCTTTGGAAGAACACATTGTTGCAGACAGAGGAGAAAAGCTTCATGCTTTCCTGAAGCCGATTCTGAGGAAGAAGGAAAACTACCTTGAACACCATGGAACTGCCATGAATCAGCAGCAGAGCCAGTGGCCAACGCCAGCCAGCTCCCTGGGGACAGGGAGCACCCCTCTGCTTTCTTCCCCCAACCTGCAGGCCCCTGGATCCTGATCTCAGCACCCCACTCTTGTGCTCTGCTCAGCACTCGGGAGCAAGGGGGCGTGCTGGCTGCATTCTCTCCTTAGGAAGGGCCCGACGAACATGGAAGGGGGGCAAACTGCACAGGCCAGGGGAGTGAGGAGAGATGTACAGATGGATAACGAAGGGCTGTGGGCCAGGGCATGAGAAGCCAGAAGCCCAGGGCTGCAGCTGGATCACTGGCTCTATGAGAGGCTGCAGGGGCGAAAGGGGGGGTTCTGGGCATGGGCAGACTGGCTGGTACAGTAGAACCCAGGGGAGACCACAGGTGGGATTGGCAGGCTGCTGCCGTGCAGCAGGGATGAGGGTTCACGCCCTGGAAGAGGAGCAGCTCAGGCGCAGAGCGAGCCCCAGATTGCACAGCGGCAGAACACTAGTGCCTTGAGCATGAGAAAGTCCCTGGGTCCCCCGACCCACCGAGCCTGGCCTTACCAGCGCTGGCTCCTCTGGGAGGGCCTCATTGTATGCGCGGAGAGATGCCACAAACAGCACAGCTCACATGTCCTCTAAGCAGCCGAGCCAGTTCTGGTGCTCAGTGCGCTGCCCACCCACATCGTAGAGCCTGCAAGACACAGGGCAGAGTGCCAAGAGGGTCCGCCCAGCGAGGGGCAAACAGCTTCCCCTGGAAGGGGACTGAGCAGCCAGGTCAGACAGTGAAGGGTTAACCCTCCCAGCGCCATCAGGCTGCTCAGCATCACTGTCCCCATAGAGGAGATACAGGAAGGAGGCATGTGAGAAGGGGCTGCAGCCAGGTCACATTGCCAGGAGTGGAACCCAGGGCTCCTGCACCCCCCCTGCTCACCAGAAATGCTTCCTCACTGATCTTTAGTGCAGTGGTTCTCAACCAGGGGTCTGGGGTCCCCTAGGGGGCCACGAGCAGGTTTCAGGGAGTCCGCTAAACACAACGAACATCAGACTCACTAGGGCCCAGGGCAGAAACCCAAAGCCCCGCCACATGGGGCTGAAGCCCGGGACCCTACGCCCCACCCCTCGGGGCTGAAGCCAAAGCTGGAGCAATGTAGCCTTGCAGGGCCTGCTGTGGCATGGGGTTCCCAGGCAAATGCCCTGCTTGCTACCCCGCAACGCCAGCCCTGGCTTTCATATGCAGCAAACCGGTTGCTGTGGCACAAGTGGGCCGTGGAGATTTTACAGCATGTTGGGGGGGCTCATGAGGCAAAAGGCTGAGAAGCCCTGCTCTAGTGATGTGCCACTGGGGACATTCTCAAACCCACCAGACTGACTGCCTACCCCCAGTAACAGCCCCACAGCTCTGGCCCCGGAGCCCCGTCAGTCTCCACTGGAGCCCCAGCCCAGGCCCTCAACAGCAGCCCCCAGCCCCAGTCCCACCCAGCCTGCTCAGGAGAGTTTATGTGGAAAGCACAGGCTGCTAGACGGCAGGCTCCCTGCACCTTCCCTTTCCACGGAACCCGCTCTGCAGCCCTGGTGCCCAAGTCAGTGAGTGACAAACATGCGTGATCAGCTCCTTCCAGATGGCAGCTGAAGCTCCAATGAGCCAGTGGAAAACTACTGCCAGAATGCAACGGGCAAATTACAGCTCATAAACCTGGCACCATTCCCCGGTGAGCAGTTGTGCTCAGAGTCACTGGCGGCACAGGGACAGGCTGTGCCCAGCTCCCCTCTGTTCCAGAGACTGGCACCAACAGGGACACCAGCACCTCGGCCTGGCACCTGCCAGCTGGGGACCACAGGGATGGGAGAGCTTAAGACTGGTGTCTGCCACATTTCCCAAGGGCCTGGGGGGCTCCGGGCAGCAGCCATGCCCTGGGCTGTGGGACGTGTGGGGAGAGCTGAGAGTCGGGCTCACGCCAAAAGTTATAGCAGCTACTGAAAACAAGAAGAAACTCCCAGCCCTATGAGGGAGGCACGGGGCTTAGACGCTCCCATGCGTGGCCCAGGCCATGTCAGACGCAGCAGCATCTTCCCGCTCCAGTTGTTGGGTTAGTGCCTCACAGCAGGCAGCAGCACAGAAACAGGGACTGTGCCCTCAGGGGAGGGTCTCTGGATGGCCAGATTCACACCAGCGAATCCAAACAACTCATCACAATAACCACAACCACGCACTGTGCCTGCCCAGAGCCCCTCCATCTGCAGGAGCCTCTGGCACTCAGCTATTCCACACGAGAGCAGAGGGAATGGCCCCCAGCCTGAGGGGTCCCCACAGCTACCCACCAGCCCCAGCGCTCTGCAACCCACCCCTGGAGAGCAGACGCCTCGGGCTGCATTTGAGAACACTGAAGAGTGTTCAGTGTGGGCAGGCAGGCTCTAACCTGCCCCCCGCCCCAGTCCTCACTAGCACCATGCCAGCCCCTCTTGGGCCGAGAGTCCCAGGGCCATCAATTCTTGCTGCTTCTGCTGAGGCGGCCAGTGAGGGGGCAGTCAGTGCTGTGTGGGGTGGAGAGACAGACAGAAACCTGCCCACATGGAACTGGGTCTGGATACCACTGCCAGCCCCCAGATCCCAGTGCCAAACACCTCGACCTTGTCAGGTATTCCCCTCCCACTGCTACCTCAGCTACTAGCAGAAAAGGAGTACTTGGGGCACCTTAGAGACTAACAAATTTATTTGAGCGTAAGCTTTTGTGAGCTACAGCTCACTTCATTGGATGCATTCACTGGAAAATACAGTGAGGAGATTTATATACATAGAGAACATGAAACAATGGGTGTTACCATACACATTGTAACGAGAGTGATCACTTAAGGTGAGCTATTACCAGCAGGAGAGAAAAAAACCTTTTGAAGTGATAATCAAGTTGGGCCATTTCCAGCAGCTGACAAGAACTTCTGGGTACTCTTCTAGCTCTGTCAATCTGTTTCTTCAACTTACAACTACAATACCCACCTGCTGAAGTGAAGAAACAGATTGACAGAGCCAGAAGAGTACCCCGAAGTTACCTACTACAGGACAGGCCCAACAAAAAACATAACAGAACGCCACTAGCCGTCACCTTCAGCCCCCAAATAAAACCTCTCCAAAGCATCATCAAGGATTTACAACCTATCCTGAAGGACGACCCATCACTCTCACAGATCTTGGAGACAGGCCAGTCCTTGCTTACAGACAGCCCCCCAACCTGAAGCAAATACCCACCAGCAACCACACACCACACAATGGAACCATTAACCCAGGAACCTATCCTTGCAAGAAAGCCCGTTGCCAACTGTGTCCACATATCTATTCAGGGGACACCATCATAGGGCCTAATCATATCAGCCACGCCATTAGAGGCTCGTTCACCTGCACATTTACCAATGTGATATATGCCATCATGTGCCAGCAATGCCCCTCTGCCATGTACATTGGCCAAACTGGACAGTCTCTACGTAAAAGAATAAATGGACACAAATCAGATGTCAAAAATTATAACATTCAAAAACCAGTCGGAGAACACTTCAATCTCTCTGGTCACTCAATTACAGACTTAAAAGTGGCAATTCTTCAACAAAAAAACTTCAGAAACAGACTCCAATGAGAGACAGCTGGATTGGAATTAATTTGCAAACTGGACACCATTAATTTAGGCTTGAATAGAGACTGGGAGTGGATGTGTCATTACACAAAGTAAAACTATTTCCCCATGTTTATTTCCCCCTCCCCCGTTCCTCATATGTTCTTGTCAACTGCTGGAAATGGCCCACCTTGATTATCACTTCAAAAGGTTTTTTTTCTCTCCTGCTGGTAATAGCCCATCTTACCTGATCACTCTGGTTACAGTGTGTATGGTAACACCCCTTGTTCCATGTTCTCTGTGTATATAAATCTCTCCACTGTATTTTCCACTGTATGCATCCGATGAAGTGAGCTGTAGCTCATGAAAGCTTATGCTCAAATAAATTGGTTAGTCTCTAAGGTGCGACATATCCTCCTTTTCTTTTTGCGGATACAGACTAATACGGCTCCTCCTCTGAAACCTGTCAGCTACTAGAGACATTTTAGGTCTTTATCAACGCAAGAAGGACTCAGAAGCCTTCTGTGTGGGAGGACAGGGCTGCTCAGGGAGGACAAGGGAGAGCCACGTGCCAGATAAGCCCACAGAGGGATTAATGGGAAATCAATGGGGCTTTGCTGGTCAGGGCCAGTCTCCCAGTTAGCGCAGTCAAGTAACTATTGGGAAAGTGTCTGCTTAGCAGGCTGATTTCCTCTGGCCCCACCTCCCCAAAGCTCTGGGTGCTGCCAGGCCAGGCCTGACCCCATGCTCCCCTCACAACTCATCCAGCCACTCCCTACCCCAGTGAGTCTCATACGCTGGCCACGCATCTCACCGAAACGCCAGGTCCTTGATCCTGAAGCGAGTCTCAACGACGCCACTTGTGCGCAGTCGGACACGAAGCACGTCGCTTGGCGTCGGCCGGAACTTGGGATGGACGAGCCGTTCCACGTTCTCAAAGAAACTGTGGAGAGCGGGGGAGAGATCCTTATAGCCTCCCTCATCGACACAGCATCCTCCCAGAGTCTGTCCACTCCTCCCTAGCCAGCTCCCCACCACAGAGCCTGACCAATGCCCCTCCCTCACCCAGCCAGACTGCTCAGTCCTCCTTCAGCCCCACATTCTCCCCCAAGGCCTTCAAATGACATCACAAGCTTGGGAGAGCTCCACTGCCCACGCTGTGCCCTACCAGTACAGGTGTTTGAGGCAGTTTTGCTGACCCAGGGCTGGGCCCCTGAGCCCCCCAGGAAAGAAACCAAGTCAAATCCTTTTCTAGCCTCCAGCCAACGGCCCAGCTCCCTTGGCGGTAACAGGCATCTCCTTCCAAAGCAAAACAGCACCAACCCCCACAAAGAGCACGCTTGGCCCCATGCCCTGGCCCACCCTAGGCCTTGCACCGACTCCAGGCCTCTGCAGCTTTAACCAAAGCAAACACCCAGTAGATGCTGGGGTCCCTCAGCACAGCCTCTTCTGCTGCCCAGCGCCACATACACCCCTGAACTGGAAGATGCCGGGTGCCCTTAGGGGTCCTGAAGCAGGGAGGCACTGCAGGACTGTCCAGCTGAGCACTTAGGGATCCCCACAAACCTGGAGCTCACTGGCCAGAAGAGGGGCCTGGGACCAGAGAGATGGAACATCACAGGGTCAAGAGGTGGCAGCTTGAGAAGCCAACACATCCACCCACCCCAGCCCAGCAGGGGTCACCCGGACTGGGGCTCATGCTACACCTGAGGCCGTGGACGAGCAAAGCCCCACGACGAGGCTGGAAGATGAGCTCAAAGCCTGGCAGCGTCGGGGGCAGCTCCTGACGGGAGAGTCACTGAAGCTGCTGGTGCAGCCCAGGGCCGCGCCACCCCCACACTCCCCAGCCCGTCTCGGAAGCCGATTTCCATAATTTCACACGCGCCACGAACGACTCGGCAGCTCCCAGTCAATCCCCTGGCAGGCAGGTGTGGCACTTTATTGACTCTCCCAGGCTCTGCTCTCCTGGGGCTGACACGCACATAAAGCGCTTCCCTCCAGCGGCAATAACGTGCTCGCAATCTCCCCGGCCAGGAGGAGCCGTCCCACACGCAGACAGGCTTTCCAAACAAACGCTCCTCCGGACAAGAGCCCCATCCCAACCCTCTGCCCTTGGGGGGGGGTGACAAGTGGCTGTCCACCCCCCCACGTCCCTCCAACATCTTGGGGGAGACCCAGGAGTAGTGGTGCCGCCCCCCGTGCGTCCCAGGCTTCAGCACAGATTTGGCAGCTCCCCAACCCTGCGTCCGTGGCCCTAGCTGCAGACAGAACCCCAGAGCACTGACGGTGAACAGCTGACGCTTCCTTCTCCAGGCTTTACTCAGCTCAGGACGCTCTCCCGCAACGGGCCTGGCTAGCCAGCGAAAATGATCCTTCAGATCAGGCGCTGAAATTGCTTCTGCGATGCCAAGGCAGAGACCCGGGAGCTGCCGTCTCAGGCTGAGACTCTCCTCCTCCCCAGTGGCACCGGCAGAAGGATGCAGCAAAATCTGCCCTTTAATTCTACTTCCCTGGTCTGGCAGCTTTGGCTGGAGGGCAAAACAAGTCCCAGGCCCCAGGAGAGACGAGCACGTTGACAAACACTCAGGTCTCTCCAGAGATGCGATGCAGCCCCAGGCTTCCCCCCCCGAAAGCTACCCCAGTCCCAGGCTCTCTCAAGCCGGTGACATTGTGGGAATGGCACCACTGACTGAAGAATTGGGGGCAGTTTATATTATGGCCTGTCCCTGCCCCCACAGCAGGACGCACTGGAGCATTAATGGGAGTTGGAGAGAACACAGCAATTCTGGTCACAGCTGGGGGGCCCGCTCCAGGGGCGCCCGGTTGCTCTGAGAGCAGGTGCACTGACCTGCATGCGTTCTGGAAGTCAGGGCCTCAGCGGAGCCATACAGTAACCACAACTTCCAAGAACAACTCTGAAACAGAAAACAATCAAAGCCCAAACTTGAAATTCATGAGCCTTTCCCCCAATTTAACTCCATTTTTTTTCCTCCCCCAGGACTCGCAGGCTGCAAGCAAACCCAAGCACAGAAAAAGAGGGGCCCGGAGGCACTAGGAGACTGAAGAATATAAAATGCAAAAAGATTTCTGCTCAGAATCACAATAAGAGGCCGCGAGGAACTGAAGGTCTGCCAGGCACTGTTTATTCCATCTCATCAAGAGAAGCCAACGTTTCTGAGAAAACGAGTGATACAAGCAGCCAGGCACTGAAGCATTGGGGAGAGCAAAAATTAAATAACATTGACATTTTTAATAACCATTGCAACTGTTTGGGCCCAGAGGCAGCATCTTTCTATGGAAATGTTCAGCCGGGGGTAGAATTGACACTTTTGTTGGGTTGTTTGTATTTAATGACAAACTCTTCTTGAGTCTGACTTTGCAGAGGGAGCCGAGAACTGACAGGTCTCACCGCGTCAGGGAATGAATATGGAAATGGGAACACTCCCACTCCAAGACAAACGCTGAGCTCCAGGAAGGCCCAGAGTGGCTCAGGAGACACAACTTGCCCTTTTGGCAGCTTGAGGCAAGAGCAGGCGCAAGGCAGCAGCTGATGGATCTGCAGAGGCACCGAGATGTGGCTAGGAGACGAGCGGCAGGTGTGGTGGTGTCAGACACCAACAACGAGAAAATAAAAATCCAGAATAAAGCATCGGCCACATCCAGTCAACCCCCCAGGAACTGCCCCCCCCCTGCTGAGGCCAGTGCAGCTGCCATTCTGCTTGGGGTTCTCCAGTCTGCTTCTCTCTCCCAGTGCTCTCCTCCCCCACACCACAGATAGGCAAAGGAGCAGCCCCAGAACCACTGCTCTGTGTCCTTAACCCCTCTCCAGCACAAACAAGCCCAAAGTCCTCCTCGATGGATGGAACCAGCAGCGTGCTCCAGACCAGCCCCCAACACCCGATCACAGCCCCAAGGGCCTCATCAGCTCAGTGACCAGTGGGGTGGGGCCCCTCCACGACCTCACCCCCCAAGGGGGGGGCTGGGCAGTGGGACAAGCACAGTGCAATGAGGGGCCCCTTTCTCCCAGGCCCAGGGCTCTGCTCTGCCCAGTGTTGACTAACTGGGTGAGGGAAGGACGAGCTGAACTCACGGAGAGACAGAGGCAGCAGAAACCGACACCGATCAGGAGAGAAAGCCCCACTCCAGGCTGGGAGGCTGCAGAGAACATCATGGACCAGGATCCCCCTACAAACCACTGCTGCCTGGCAGGCTCGGCAGAGACCACAGAGTCTGCAGCAGGTTCTTGTCTTCGTTCTCCCCGGCCGTTGATCCAGCTCTAGTCACTTTACAGCTGTTGTAGGGGGTCCCAAACCACTCCCGAGCCTCCACCGACAGGGACCACTCTCCCTGCCAGAATGCAGCTGCCTGGGGTAATCTGCGTAGCACGGGAAGGGGAAGAGGATGTTTTGCTGCGAACACACACACAGCTGAGGTGGCAGGGGAATGGAGCCAGGCCACGGAGGATGATTAACGGGCAGGAGGGGCCAGCAGCTCTGGGCTCAAACCCTCCCACACACAGCAGGACAGCCACGGTGCAGTGCACTGATGGGGCTGTGGTACTCACTAGAGTGCAGAGTCATTGAGCCCATATTTGTAGCCTCTCCCGGTTGCTGCTTGCACTCCAGCATCAGCCCAGGGGCAGCACAGAGCATCTGACACCCAGGGAAGCACCATCTGGGTCTCATCCAAACAGTGGCTGCAGGACAGCACGGAGCGAGCATGCACCTAGGACAGGGAGAGAAGGACCCAGATCAGTTGGGAATTGCTGGAGCATCTTGGCTTGGGGCAAGCATCGGATAGGAGGGCTTCAGAATGGGCCCAAAGCCTCCAGGCCACCCTCTGCTCAGCTCGAGAGAGGGATGGAGCCTCCCACGGTTCCATCCTCCAAGCCACTCCTGGGACTGACATTTACCTCAGAAGGCTCAGAGCGTGCGCTCATGTGTCGGGGGTGGGGGGGGGGTGGGAGGGGGGAGAGGATGTTCCCTGAAAGTTTCCCAGGCCCTCCCAATCACAATCCCCTGCTAAAGCTTAAATCTTTCCCCCAGTGACAGGTCTCCTGGCTCCAAGAGCAACTGTGTCATGGATTGGAATGCATCCCATGAAGTGAGGTGTAGCTCACGACAGCTTACACTCAGATAAATGGGTTAGTCTCTAAGGTGCCACAAGTCCTCCTGTTCTCTTTGCGAAGACAGACTAACCCGGCTGCTGCTCTGAAAAGAGTCATTACCGAAATGCCAATACAGTGCCTTGGAGATTAACAGTCACTGACAAGTCCCCCCCCCGCCCAACCGCAACAGGGAACAGATACACACACCCACTCCCCCACAACGTGGGGTAGGGGCGGGGGAGAAGAGGACATAAGATTTGCACACACCTCTGCAATACTGGGTGACCCCACTCAGGTAGAGCCTACAAGATCGCTTGCACTCTCCTGCTTTATAACGATGACACTGAGTCTCAGCAGTGAGCTGTTCTAGCGAGACCCACCTGCCCAAATCTCCACCTTCCCCACTCCCAAACTGCTGCAGTGACACTCTGCGCTTCCGAAGCAGAGCCTTGCAGCACAATGCAATTTAATATCATGCTCAACACCGCGGACTATTGCACTCTCTGCATCATTTTGTTTTCTGGTGAATTCAGTTAGGCTTTCCTCCCTCAACTCATCTGAACATGTGCTGAACTTCCTGCCACACAGGCCTGGCTGCAGGAACTGGAGGTGGGGAATCACAGACACTGGAAACTAAGGGGGACAATGGGCATGGGAAACATCCAGGAGCTGGGGTGGGGACCTGTTGTAAAATTTGCATTAAGAGACCAACAGACCCCTGATTGGGAATAACACTGAAGAGCCGCCTCCACCCCATAACCACACCACCAGGTGCTGATCAGTACGAGTTCCCTGACACACACAACCGTTTATAGGTGCTGGAGCTAGGGGAGCTGCTGCACTCCCTGGCTTGAAGTGGTTCCATCATATCCAGGGTTTACAGTTGGGTTCAATGGCTCTCAGCACCCCCACTATACAACTTGTTCCCCTGCAACCTTCCTGGGAGATGTGGCTCAGAAAGGAGACAATTGCACAGGTTGTAACTGGGATAGCTAGCAAAGGTAGGGCACTCAGGAAGCAGGTGACAGAAACCACATGGAAGGGGGCCAAATGTGAGCGCACGAAGGTGTTTGGACATGAGTAACCCCTGGAATCAGTCCCCTGAGTGGATCTCCCTGGGGGAGTTGTGTCCCCTCCCCCAACTCCAGTTAAGCCCTCTAACACAGGGGACATGTGCTCCCTCCCACAGCAGGCCAGCTACCTGATTCTTGCTGCTTGTCAGGTAGATGTGCAGAATCCCCATGCCATGGAGAACCAACTTCATGGAGCTGAGCAGATTGTCCAGCACAGCAGGCTACAGCGAGAGGGAGACGCAGAAGGGACTCACTCTGAGGGCAGGAGAGGAAAGGGAAAACTTGCGAGTGCCGAATGGGAGCCAATGCCGTGGGAGCAGCAAGTGTCCTCCAGTTCCCAAAGTCCAGATCGTCACCACAATCGTACCAGATCTGATTCCAGTTAATGCCATTCAGTAACAGAGAGTCAGTCCAAGAGGCTCTCTGGCGAATTGAAGGAATCTGAGCATGAGTCCAGGGGACAGATAAAGAAACTTTTTTGCCCATTCCACTAGGAACCAAAAACTGTTTCCAGGGTGCTGGGAGAGGTGCTGCCCGGATTTGCAGCAGTTCCTCTGCCTGGCAGATACACATGAGGTTCCTTAACAGGATAAACACATGTGGCAAAATCTGAGCTTCTTTACCCATAGCACCACTCCTCTCACACAGAAACTCTGTTCCAAGGCACTCATCTCTACCCCTGCCCCCTCCC